TCCAGACAACATATGGCGCCCATCCTTCGTCTCCCCTACTGGTCCTCTTACCGTTGGGGATTCCGTGATGAAGAATGATATGACCGCTGCGGTGGTGGCCAGGAACCTTCTCACTCCCAAAGATAACAGACTACTTTCCAAACGGTCTGATGAGTTAGCTGTTAAGGATTCGCTGGCTCTCAGTGTTCAGTGTGCAGGTTCTGTGTCTAATATGGCCCAACGCCTATTTGCTCGAACCCGCCAAGTTGAATCATTGGCGGCTGAAGTGATGAGTCTCAAACAGGAGATTAGAGGGCTCAAGCATGAGAATAAACAGTTGCACCGGCTCGCACATGACTATGCTACAAACATGAAGAGGAAGCTTGACCAGATGAAGGAAACTGATGGTCAGGTTTTACTTGATCATCAGAGATTTGTGGGTTTGTTCCAAAGGCATTTATTGCCTTCGTCTTCTGGGGCTGTACCGCGTAATGAAGCTCCAAATGATCAACCTCTGATGCCTCCTCCTTCTAGGGTTCTGTCCAGTACTGAGGCTCCAAATGATCCCCCTCCGGTGCCTTCTCTTTCTGGGGCTCTACCGACTGCTGAGACTTCTCCTAAGCAACCTTTGTGAAGGCTCCCTCTTGTGTGTTTATTTTGACTCATGTATATGTACATATTTGTAGCTTATCGGGGATATCAATAAATAAGCTTTCCTTCATTTCAACGTATTGTGTTAAATACACCAAAGCCTTCTTCGCTAAGTTCTTTGAATTTTTCTTTTGTTGAAGCTTGTATGTTGAAGCTTTCTGAGTGGAGCATGTAGGTTGGGGTAGTGTTCCCTTAATTTCCCGAGTGAGGAAAACTTCTCGGTTGGAGACTTGGAAAATCCAAGTCACTGAGTGGGATCGGCTATATGAATCTTAGAACGCCATTGTGCTCGATCCTGTGTCATGTCCTTCGTTAGATCCAAGTACTCTAAGTCTTTTCTTAGAGTCTCTTTCCAAAGTTTTCCTAGGTCTTCCTCTACCCCTTCGGCCCTGAACCTCTGTCCCATAGTCGCATCTTCTAATCGGAGCGTCAGTAGGCCTTCTTTGCACATGTCCAAACCACCGTAACCGATTTTCTCTCATCTTTCCTTCAATTTCGGCTACTCCTACTTTACCCCGGATATCCTCATTCCTAATCTTATCCTTTCTCGTGTGCCCACACATCCAACGAAGCATCCTCATCTCCGCTACACCCATTTTGTGTACGTGTTGATGTTTCACCGCCCAACATTCTGTGCCATACAGCATCGCCGGCCTTATTGCCGTCCTATAAAATTTTCCCTTGAGCTTCAGTGGCATACGGCGGTCACACAACACGCCGGATGCACTCTTCCACTTCATCCATCCAGCTTGTATTCTATGGTTGAGATCTCCATCTAATTCTCCGTTCTTTTGCAAGATAGATCCTAGGTAACGAAAACGGTCGCTCTTTGGTATTTCTTGATCTCCGATCCTCACCCCTAACTCGTTTTGGCCTCCATTTGCACTGAACTTGCACTCCATATATTCTGTCTTTGATCGGCTTAGGCGAAGACCTTTAGATTCCAACACTTCTCTCCAAAGGTTAAGCTTTGCATTTACCCCTTCCTGAGTTTCATCTATCAACACTATATCGTCTGCGAAAAGCATACACCAAGGAATATCATCTTGAATATGTCCTGTTAACTCATCCATTACCAACGCAAAAAGGTAAGGACTTAAGGATGAGCCTTGATGTAATCCTACAGTTATGGGAAAGCTTTCGGTTTGTCCTTCATGAGTTCTTACGGCAGTCTTTGCTCCTTCATACATATCCTTTATAGCTTGGATATATGCTACTCGTACTCCTTTCTTCTCTAAAATCCTCCAAAGAATGTCTCTTGGGACCCTATCATACGCTTTTTCCAAATCTATAAAGACCATGTGTAAATCCTTTTTCCCATCTCTATATCTTTCCATCAATCTTCGTAAGAGATAGATTGCCTCCATGGTTGAGCGCCCTGGCATGAACCCGAATTGGTTGTCCGAAACCCGTGTCTCTTGCCTCAATCTATGCTCAATGACTCTCTCCCAGAGCTTCATTGTATGACTCATTAGCTTAATACCCCTATAGTTCATGCAATTTTGTACGTCGCCCTTATTCTTGTAGATAGGCACCAAAGTGCTCGTTCGCCACTCATTTGGCATCTTCTTCGTTTTCAAAATCCTATTGAAAAGGTCAGTGAGCCATGTTATACCTGTCTCTCCCAAAAGTTTCCACACTTCGATTGGTATATCGTCTGGGCCTATTGCTTTTCTATGCTTCATCTTCTTCAAAGCTACAACCACTTCTTCCTTCCGGATTCGACGATAAAAGGAGTAGTTTCTACACTCTTCTGAGTTACTCAACTCCCCTAAAGAAGCACTCATTTCATGTCCTTCATTGAAAAGATTATGAAAATAACCTCTCCATCTGTCTTTAACCGCGTTCTCTGTAGCAAGAACCTTTCCATCCTCATCCTTGATGCACCTCACTTGGTTTAGGTCCCTTGTCTTCTTTTCCCTTGCTCTAGCTAGTTTATAGATATCCAACTCTCCTTCTTTGGTATCTAGTCGTTTATACATATCGTCGTAAGCCGCTAACTTAGCTTCTTTGACAGCTTTCTTCGCCTCTTGCTTCGCTTTTCTATACCTTTCACCATTTTCATCGGTCCTCTCCTTGTATAAGGCTTTACAACATTCCTTCTTAGCCTTCACCTTTGTTTGTACCTCCTCATTCCACCACCAAGATTCCTTTTGGTGTGGGGCAAAGCCCTTGGACTCTCCTAATACCTCTTTTGCTACTTTTCGGATACAACTAGCCATGGAATCCCATATTTGGCTAGCTTCCCCCTCTCTATCCCACACACATTGGGTGATTACCTTCTCTTTGAAAATGGCTTGTTTTTCTTCTTTTAGATTCCACCATCTAGTTCTTGGGCACTTCCAAGTCTTGTTCTTTTGTCTTACTCTTTTGACATGTACATCCATCACCAACAAGCGATGTTGATTAGCCACGCTCTCTCCTGGTATAACTTTGCAATCCTTACAAGTTATACGATCCCCTTTCCTCATTAGAAGAAAATCTATTTGTGTTTTTGACGACCCACTCTTGTAGGTGATCACATGTTCTTCTCTCTTCTTAAAGAAGGTGTTGGCTAAGAAGAGATCATATGCCATTGCAAAATCCAAGATAGCTTCCCCATCCTCGTTTCTCTCCCCAAAACCATGGCCACCATGAAAACCTCCGTAGTTGCCTGTCTCCCTGCCCACGTGTCCATTTAAATCTCCTCCTATAAATAACTTCTCCGTCTGAGCAATTCCTTGCACCAAGTCTCCAAGATCTTCCCAAAATTTCTCCTTCGAACTCGTATCCAACCCTACTTGAGGTGCGTACGCACTAATCACATTGATAAGTTCTTGTCCTATTACAATCTTGATTGCCATGATTCTATCTCCTACCCTCTTGACATCTACAACATCTTGTACCAAGGTCTTGTCCACGATGATGCCAACACCGTTTCTCGTTCTATTTGTGCCCGAATACCAAAGTTTAAACCCTGAGTTTTCTAGATCCTTTGCCTTACTACCAACCCACTTAGTTTCTTGTAGGCACATAATATTTATCCTTCTCCTCACCATATATATTATACCAAACTAGTGTATCGAAATGTCCATATATACCTAAACTAGTTTACCGAAATGTCTATACCTAAATATTTTATAATGGATTAGTGGCACATAAGAAAATATGCAAAAACATTAGTGTACAGAAAAGTCTACTAAAATATTTTCTTTATTATATACGACACTTACCATAAATTGGTGATAAAATGCCAACAAATAAAGCTAATCGATTTGAATTTTAAATGATATTAAAATTTACAATATTTTATATAAAATGTAATTCTGGACACCATAAAATTATTATAAAAAAAAAAAGACATTAAATGCATATGCTAGCATTAAATAGAATTTAGGGACTAAAAACAATTTTTAATCTTGTATAAGACATTTTTCTAAACTTCATCTTATATAAGGATTAAAATCTAGTTCTCTAAACTTTAAAATTTGACAGGTCATGTCTTACGATGTCGTTGTATTAATAGAATGGTCAAGATTCAATGAAATGCAAGTAAATGCGAGATGTGTAAATTTAGAGACTCAAGATCCATGTATAACAAGAGTATGAAGAAAATATGAAGCCTCATTTAAAGTGACGTCCAAGTCGCATGCCTTGTTCGCCTTGCCTTTGGACCGCCTTTGTGTGGCATAGATGAGATACTCTAAGATTTTTAACCGTTAAATCTTGTTCATTGTATACTTGACCAAGATCTAATGGTTCAAATTTCACCATGTTTTAACATTGGAACAAGGAGAAAAATGTTGGAAGCTAACCAGCTCCTGGAGTCGAGGGGTCGAAGGCAGCAAGGAGCTCCTGAGCAAAGGGTGCTGCCTGCATCGAAGATGGAAGAAGAAGAAGAAATGAAGGGTTGGCCTCCAACGGCTAGTTTTTTGTTTAAATGTGTGAGTGACAAATGTACACTCCATATTAGATCACTTAAATCCCAATGAAGGGCTAGGATTTAATCTGGAGTAGTGAGGTGATTTTAGTGTTTAAATATTGTCTAATCACCAACTCTTTTACACAAGTATGGATGATCGAAATGTACCATACCCTTACACATTTTCTCTTCTTAATGAAGTATGGCTGCTGCATTTTCTGCACAACCCTTGAAGTTGAAAACAACACTCCAATATCCTTTCAATTCTCTACATTCTACCCCCAAGAAACCGATCCAAAAATATAACCAAAAATCATCCAAACAAACAAACTTTATAAAAAAAAAAAAAAAAATCATTTTGTGAGGATAATTTGAAACTGATGAGACTATTTATGTACTGGATGAATTTTGAATTGCTAATTATTTTATCTAATATGGTGAGAATTTGCTTATTTTGTTTAACATATAGGAAAGAGAGATTTGAGAGGATCAGCAAGGAGCTAAAGATGACAAGGGTGTTCTCTACGCTGGTAGATGAAATGAAAGCCATCGGTAGCACTTCAATAAAGGGAGAATCACAATGTACGGACGTGATGAAGCCGGTGGCCCATAGTGAGAGGAGTCCCGTGCTTCTTCTTATGGGTGGTGGAATGGGGGCTGGCAAAAGCACTGTCCTCAAAAATATTCTCAAAGAGTAATTTTCTTAAAGCTTGCACCTTGTTTCATGTCTAAGATTGGGCGGAACAAGTTTTCTTCACGACTAAATGCATCTAGTACCTTCGACTTGGACAAACTATGTAAATTGACATCTATTTCTTCATTCCACATTTGTTAAACCTATTAAGTTATCCAAGTCAAACCAATCTTAGAGACTAAACGAGGCAATGAGGATCATTTAGTGATTAATGGAGTGTGCTAAGTGTGCATGTCCATGTTTGGCAGGTCATTCTGGTCTGGAGCAGCAGCAGATGCTGTGGTAGTAGAGGCAGATGCTTTCAAAGAGACAGACGTCCTTTACAGAGCCCTTAGCTCTAGAGGTCACCACAGTGACATGCTCCAAACTGCTGAGCTAGTAAGTCTCTCTCATTTAATTAATTTTGTTTATCACAATATAACCTGGGAGACAGTGAGTTTAGATTTCTAATCTCGGATTAATTGCCTAGCCAGATCTTAGGTTGTAAGTGCTCGAAATTAATACTTAAAACCTTAAGATCGAAGCTCTGAAAGACCATTCTATACCCTAACAATCAACCACGTCATTCAATGGGATAAAAATTGAAAATTTTGAGCAAACTGTAAAACTGAGGTTTCTTCAAGGCGTCATGTAGTCCCTACGCAAAGAATTTCTACATTATGTTATATGTATGCACACATTTTGCATTATACCCTTACATAGTTTCACAAACGTCGTAACTGATGTCATTACAGTTGATCATGATAATTGATGTATTATGTGCATGTCTGCCACATTCTGTGATGAGCTAAACTGATCTAAGAATGTGTTTTTGTAGCATTTTCAAATGCTACAATTCCATCATAGAAGTTATCTAGTTGAATCAACTGACTGATTGATCAATGCAGGTGCACCAATCATCTACTGATGCTGCATCATCGCTTCTAGTGACTGCACTTAATGAAGGAAGGGATGTGATCATGGACGGCACTCTATCATGGATGCCCTTTGTTGAGCAGACAATAGCCATGGCCCGGGATGTCCACAAATGCCGCTACAGAATGGGGGTCGGTTACAAGGTGGAGGAAGACGGCACCATTACCGAAAACTATTGGGAACGAGTGGACGATGGAGAGGATCATCAGGATCAGCAGAAGATAGATAATGGAGAGGAACCCAGGAGAAAACCCTACAGAATAGAGTTGGTTGGAGTTGTTTGTGATGCTTATTTAGCTGTTGTTAGAGGCATCAGAAGGGCAATCATGGTTGGGAGGGCAGTGAGGGTGAATTCGCAGTTGAAATCCCACAAGAGATTTGCTAGTGCATTTTATAGATACTGCCAGCTTGTTGATAATGCCAGGCTCTACGGCACCAATGCTATGGCTGGCCCTCCAAAGGTAATTTTGGACTCTCCAACTATACTAACTACTTTAAGTAATGTTACAAATACCACAATTTTAGATCACATTTTAGGAAGATGCACATGCATGTGTCAATTAACTTTTGGTTATTATTGTTATCAATCGTCACATGAACGGGTTCATGTGGAAATACTTTGTAGGAAGCATTTATGCTCACATAAAATGCTTTTATCATAAGGATGTAGAAGTTTTATCAAAAACGAATTGTTTCCCGGAAAAAAATGACTTGTTTAGTTCTTCTTAATAAAGCACTAAAAATTACTTTTAACTTTTTTTTTTCAAGCACTGTTAAAAACACTTTTAACCTTTCTTCGTCCAATCGGCCATTTTCAGCCGATGTGATCTACTACTTGAATGATAAACACAAAAGTTCATATAATAGTTGATAAATTTTTGCTCAGACATATGCATAGCATGAAATTTATGTACTTGGATTTGTGTGTAAAAATGCAGCTGATAGGATTGAAGGATGGAGACAACAATTTGCTAGTCGATCCGGAAGAGATAAAGTGCTTGACAAACTTAAGCAGTTTAAACTCTGAGGCAGAATCCATATACGAGCTTAATATGCAGAACCCAAGCCTTATCCTCGAGCCTGGTTCCTTCTGGAGAGACATTGTCTTGTGCCCTTCAAGGCCAAACCTTCAGCTGAAGCTAAAGGGTACCATTAAAAAAATTGAAATTTCATACACTGCTACCAATTAGGTTAACAGTGTTGAATCATCTACTTAATTCTTGTGTTAATTTCGTGTTTATTGAAAATTCTGTACATGCAAAAATGAATATATAGTTCATTAATTGCCATCAAATATCATAATAATTCTCTCGTCCAATATTAATTGCTTCTAATTAATAGCCCCAAAAAAAATCAGAAATTACCAACCAAAGTTATAAACAAAGACGCCATGAATGTACAGAAGAAACTTCTTTTATTTATTTAATTGCCAAATTGGATTAATGGCCCATGGTGATATGATATTCGGAAGATAGTCCATGTGGTAAAAAAACATAAGGATTTAAATCTTTGTGGTGAAGATTATTAGCAATTTTAACACAAAAACAAAATTTCTGTTAAATCCCAATTAAATGTAGGGATAAAAATGTTCAACCACACTTTTCTATCTGTTAGCCTTCTCTCTTCCTCTATCTAATTGCACCTCCTCTCTCATCTCTCTCTCCAAGCTTTCACACAAAACAAAAAAGGAGTTAAACTGTATCTCCGATTACCATTTGAACAAGGAAAATTAAAGAAGTGCAATGAGTGTGTTTGGAAAGTGTACTCACTCTAAGGCTCTTGCAGCTCCAAGTGCCATTCTAATTTCTAAACGGGGATTCCACGGGAGTTTCTTCTTGAGATCATCATCTATGTGCAGAGCATCATGCAGTGAACCATTACTACAATACTCGTAGATAAGAAGCCTTTGACCATGCTCTGCACAGTAACCCATAAGCTCGACAACATTAGCATACCAGGTCAAGAAACTCGTCATCTTTCTGCTGACTAGAAGCTCTCTTGTCCAATTCCTCTTGACTTCAAGTAGCTGCAAAAGTATCCCAAAAGAATAGTGTCAGTTTCTATACTATTCTATGCATATAACAGAAACTGCTTGACACATGAGATATAAGCACACAGGAAGAGAGAAGATTTTCATCTTGCATACAAAAGTACCCGAAAAAATATATTACATGATACAAATCATATCATACCATATATTACATGTTACAAATGGAGTGCAAAATTTTCAAGCATTAATTAACTACAAGCCATAATATTAATGCAAAATAAATAGCAAATTAGTGTTGGCACTCCAAACTTTTTAAATTTAGAAAGAAAAAAAACTCTTATAAGGAGTGCACAATCAGATTTTTTTAATTTTTGAAGTACCAATAGTTCCCTATAAATACACATATTAAACTTGGAGACTACTTAAAGAAACACACAAAGAAGAAATAAGAGAGCTGGCTTAAACTTGGACGGTTGCTTGGATATGAACACTTGAGTTTTATTGATCTACAAAAATTACAAATGAGAGGTGTTTACAAAAGCGTTGTTTACAAAAAGAGCAATACAAAAGTACAAAGCACTTCAAAAAATTTCGTCCTTGAAAACCTCACAAATTATACTATAAAAGTAGTCTCAAAACTCTCTAGATATTTTAGTGGTGATGTTAATGTTGTTGCGAAGGGCTGGTTTGGTATTGCTGTGCTTTGAAAAAAAGCTGCTGTGAGAATAAGCGGCTGTGCTGTGAGAATAAGAGCTGTGAAATAAAGCCAGTAGAGTGTTTGGTAAACTTTTTTGTGAAAGTGCTTTTGGAAAAAAAAGCAGGATGATAGTGTGTCTTTTCATTAAAGGAGCACTGTAGCTCCGTGTGCTTTGAAAAAATTGGCTTTTTTTCAAAGCAGCAAATAGCAGCTTCAGCTTTTCCTTTGATTTTCAGCTTATTCTCACAGCAGCTTCCAAAATAAGCCCTTTTTTTTTAGTTTACCAAACACAAAAATGACCCTCAGCTTTTTTTCACAATGGCTTTTTTTAAAATCACCTCAATCCCAAACGGGGCCGAAGTATGTCTTTTCTTTTGTCAAGAGATGGATTGAAAAAGTCAAACCGTTTGTGGACCATTGCTGTCTTGTTGGTTCATGAAGAATTCTTAGGAGGGTTCTTCACGTAGGAAATTGCTTATAAATAAATTTTAACGAAAAACTTTTGGTACTATTTATTTTAACAAAAAATCATATTTTTACACTAAAAAGTCAATCCTAGTACTATTCACTTCACCCTTTATTTTTTCATTATCATTAAAACTTAAAACTTTCAAACCATTTTCATTAGTTTTATTTAAATAAAACCAATTAATTCTATTTTAGTTGATTTGTGCACCAATAACACAAAAAAAAAAAAACCCTAGTAAAATCATAGTAAAGTCCAAGTGCAACAGTAGCGAACATTTTAATTTGAAGCCCAATCAGTAGGCCCAATTCCAACCTCAATCTAGGGCTAAACACACAACCAGAGCCACCACGACCCCAAATCGATTTTTATATAAATTCAGCTTGAACGAAAAACCTCCTGCTTCCCGAATACCCTAGCGGCCAAGCACAGATCCGAAGTCCCTCCAAGCTTCCCTCCCACCTCGCGTTTCCGATTCCGAAAGCTCCACCACCATGGTAGATCTCCGAATCCCCACTCTCTCTCTGAATCGCATCATTTCGCTTATAATTTCTCTCTCCTAACTCTCTACCTTCTCTGGTATTTTTTTTGTTTTTTCAGGCTGACGTTGAGACCGATGTTGCGGCAGCTGGAGTTCCGAAGAAGAACATTCAAGAAGTTCAGCTTCAGGGGCGTCGATTTGGATGCCCTTCTTGACATGTCTACTGATGAGCTCGTCAAGCTCTTCCCTGCCAGAGCTCGCAGAAGGTAATACACAAATGGATCGATACGATTTCTTGGTTTGGTTTTTTGGGGGATTTGTGAAATTGGGTTTGAATTGGATTTTGTGGATTTGTTGTGGTTGGTAGGTTTCAGAGAGGTCTGAAGCGCAAGCCTATGGCTTTGATTAAGAAGCTCCGCAAAGCGGTAATCTTTCGGAACCCATTGGCTGAAATTGTTACAGATTTTCTGTTTAGATTTGGATTTTGTTTGGTGATGTGGTTGGCGATGCTTTACTATGAAAATGATGTGTTATTGTGATCGAGTTGTGTTTTTTTATTATTGGGTTTCAGAGCGTTGTGATTTGAGTTGTCAAATTATCACTTAAACTTTTTGATGCATAGTAGATGATGCCAATGTTGGACTTGTGCTTGTTCTCCCTTGGTCAAGCTTGTGTTCTATGGACAGTATGAATCTAATTTATGTCGGAATTTGATTAACCTCGAGTGTGATTTGTGTTCTGGAAAATGGGGACCTGATATTCCTTTTATTTATTTATTTTTAAAGTGCATACTTTGTTTAGTTGTATAATAACACATGGGAATTTTGTGGATTGTCTCCCCTGTTCTGTTTTATTTCACTCACATAAATAAGTTGGATTATCAAAATAATTTTGGAATGTAGAAGTTTCTACGTGTCTTAGAAGGCATAATAGATACGAGAAAGAGACCGCGGCAGGCCCCAATATAAGTTGTGATTCCTGAGTCCCTGCTGTTTAAAAACCCATTGTTGTCCTGTTGCTGGGTTTAGTTTGAGCTGTATTTTTACAGAGTCAAACTCTATAATTTTTTGTGAACTTGTTTGAATGTTGCAACATATTGTTTTTGTGTCAGGATCAAGTATGTATCTCTTTCCGTCATTGAGTTCTGTTGTAGATTGTCAAATGCTATCATGGATGGGGAAAATATGGACCTAATGATTTTTTCTCTGTGCTTGTAACAGAAAAGGGAGGCACCACCTGGTGAGAAGCCAGAGCCAGTCCGTACTCACCTTCGTAACATGATTATAGTTCCAGAAATGATTGGAAGCATCATTGGAGTGTACAATGGTAAGACCTTCAATCAGGTTGAAATCAAGCCTGAGATGATCAGCCACTACCTTGCTGAGTTCTCAATCTCATACAAGCCTGTAAAGCACGGTAGACCTGGTATTGGTGCCACCCACTCTTCGAGGTTCATTCCTCTTAAGTGAGATAGTTTCCAGCAGTCTGGATGTCTGGTCGTGTTATTTCTGTAAGACTTTGATATCGATCACATTTTTGCTCATTGCTGCTATTTGGTTTTGTTATATTTTGGCCCTACCTTGATTACTCTTTAGATGGAATTTATATTTACAGTTGTGGTGCTTCTGGATGCTCAGACTATGAGATTAATAGATTTAAGCGTAGTTGAATTAATGCTTGTTCTCTTGAGTTGCAACCATGTCATTTTTCTATATTCCTGTGTCCACAAGAAAGTCTACCCTTTGCGGGTTTTGGGTATGTTTTTCTCTTCCCGAAAGAGTTTGTTTTGACTGACGATTGACCATATCTTTACCCAAAACCCCTAAAGGGTAGACTCTTACATTATTGTTGGAAAAGGCTAACGAATAGAAATATACGAAGGATCAGTTTAGATACTGGAGAGTAAGAACATGAGGTGAAACCTGCTTGTAACTCGGTTAGAAAATGAGTACCATGCATTGGGTTTGTGACAATATGAAGCTGTTCACCCCTTGGCATACTTAGCATTTGTTCTTTCCTTTCGTCACAAGACAACCAATTTTGAGAAACATCACATTCTACAGTTTGCACATTCCTAATTCAAGGTCTTGCCGCACACCGCAAGACCCAGCCGAAATGGGATTTCTAGCCCATCCGAAATAGTGTTTCTTGGTTTTGCTTTCTAGTTTATAATTTAGTTTGAATAACTATCTTTTCGGGTCATGTAGTTTTTTTGGTGATTCGGTATTTCTTTGTTTAATAAAGTTTTATATTCAGTTAGTTTGTTGCGTACTCTAGGAGGGAGACGTATAAGGATTCAAACAATATCTCCGGTGGAAATCTTGACGTACTTGGCTGAAACTTGCAAGCTTCTGGGTTTTAGGAATTGTAGGGTTTTGGTGGTGATTTTTAGCCATTTGGGATTTAGGGTTGGCTCCTTCTAGACGCCTAATAGTAAAGGGATGCCAATTACTGTAGTCTGTTTTTTACTGTTCTTTCCATACGTCACAATTTTTATTTGCTGGATGCTTTTTTTCAAGAATACTCGGGGTTTTTATGACCCAGGGTCTTTATGTTCTCTCAACCCATAAGTTGGGTTTTATGTTTTAAACTCATAAATATAGTCCTTTATTTACTCACAATGGTCCTTAACAAGAACTCTGTAAGAACATCTGTTAGTACGGCTGACATGACGTTCACGTGGAACTCAAAAAATCAATTATATAGTGACAAGTGTATTAGTAAAATTCAAGGTTTTAAAATTATTTTCATTAGTTTTCTTTTTAATGATAAGTCATACTTGAATAGAATTTAGTCAAATTTAAAGATCACTAAAGTTGGAACTTTTCCAAATTCAATAATGTTATAATGAATTTTTCAATGATATAATAATAAAATAATTAAGAGACAATTTGACCCGTTCATTTTCCAAATCCAATAATATTACCAATGAATTTAAAATAATATTCACTAAAGTTAAAAGGAGTGTCAATGGAGGCACGGTATTCCTCTCTCCCTTCACCTTCCTGCTGGAAATGGAAAATGCAATTTCCTCTCGGCTTCATAGAGTGTTTCTTGCACAGACTCTTCTATCTCTGCGGCTCCAATCTTTCCAACAATACAATTAAATACAAAGTATTAGAATATAATCAAAGAATGAGGAACAAGTATATAATGTGTGTTCATCAAAGTATTCAATAAAACTTTTACAATTTATTAAATAAATAAAATGCAAATGAAAGTCATCTATTTTCTAAGTGAGAGTCGTGATCTAGGCGGATCTGGACCAACTAGGCGGCGCCTAACTAGGTCTAGGTGCCCCTAATTTTCAAATGACTAGGGATTAATCGGAGTGATGGCCAGTCGCCTAGCATCTAGGCGGGAATTTTTAGAACATTGGTTCTATCATAATATGTATTTCCATGCAAGCACAAAGCTTCCACACGTAGTTGTCGTTCTTGGCAAAGAAAGAACCATAATGATCGTTTCAAATAAAATAAATTAGTTGGTTAGGACAATGGAATTGTTGTTTTACACTCGAGTTCAAATCATTTTCTTTGTAAATTATAGTCGTTAAAGGAAAAAAAAAAGTAGGTAATAGTTTTGTATTTGATATATATTTTTTATTTTTTTTAAAAAATGAGACAGCTGGTGACAAATCACAGTTATCCACCCCTTCTGGGAGCCGGAAAGACTCACAGAGGCATTTCAGTCTCCGCCTAGGCAGAAGACCTCCAGTTTTAGTTTGAAGAAAGCCTCGCAATGCAATCCGTGATTTACCACTAGGCCACCAACTCATAGTTTGTTTGTATTTGATATTTGGGATTATAATTTGGGCATTATCGAACTTTTTGTTTTGTTTTTTAATCTAATCTTATCTTCTTACAAAACAAAACAAATCAGATAGTGTAAGTGAAAAGTAAAAAGAAACATTTATCGTATTTTACCTCTCCTATTTATTTAATTTTGATAACAGGTGCCTAATTTATGGTATGAAAAATAGCAAGAATTTATGAAACATCAAAACTATATGCATGTACGTACCTTGGACTCAATTTCCAGCTCTGCTGAAAACTCCTCGAGTGAGAAATTAGAGCGAATATTTCTGGCTTTCAAACCCAAATGTTGCAAGCACTTAAGAACCTCCAACGTAGAATCAATTCCTGATGTAGGATTAGCCACCTTTAATCTAATCTTTGTCCATTTCACTCTCTCCTTTTCATTTTCTACCAGAAGTGTTTCAAGCTCCATGTTCTTCTTTCTCAGCTCCTCCTCATACCTCTTCAGCTGCTGAATATTCATTGCTGTCATTTGCACAATCAAGTTCTTATCATTCTGCAGCACGTAAATTGTAACACCAAAAAATTATATAACGAAATTAGTCCTCGGTCATTATCAGTCGTGTAAAAAAAAAAAAAAAGAAGGGAATTTCACGACAAGGTGCGTGATAACAACACGTTCATGAAACTCATACTAAGAAAATTAAAAACTAGAAATGAGCGTCGCAAAATGACTATTTTGAATTGCTCATCACGGATGTTAAATTTAGTTTAACTTGGTTAATTGAATATACCCACCCTGGTTCCAGCGGACAGCATAGAATGCAAGGCTAAGTAGCTTTGCTTCTGCTTCTCCCTCCTCATGCGCTCGTTGATCATATGGCGTAACCCCCCGTTCTCTGCCGTCCTCTCCGGCTTCATTTCTTGCAGCTGCAGGTTGCCAGCTTTTCCTCAAGAATTGCAGCATCCTCTTGTTCACGTTCATGGATTTTGCCACACCATTAGGGAGCTGATTACTAATGGGTCTATTTGTGTACGGCACAAAAGCACTTTGATTCAGTAATACTGGAGGACTCTCATCATACCATAAAAATTCACCTTCCAAGGCTTTGAGGATATATCGGTCCATTTCCTTCTTCTCTCTCTCTCTCTCTCTCTCTCTCTCTCTCTCTGAACTGTGTTTGTTGTGCCGGGAATTTCAAATTTCAGTTTTGGCAGTTAATATATATAGTGCTCTTGTCGAACTGGGTTTGCTGTAAAGTGTGAAACCTGTAATTAAAAAGCATTTAAAACGTGGTCAAATATCTGGTTTTGGTCACGGAGACTTGTCAGTCAACTATCTGCATATATAATATGGGTGTCAAAGTTATAGGCTTTGGAGTCGTTTTGTAGGGCTGAATATAAATAATGGATTTGGATCCTCTCCTGAGCCCAAGAAGAGGATCCTCCTAATCAAGCAGTGTGGACCGTTGGATGAAAATTTAATGATTATAATTAATATAACTTTAAAATGATTATTCTGTTTGTAGTCGTTGGATGAAAACCCAACGACCCACACTTCTTGATCAGGAGAATCCTCTCCTTGCGCTCAGGGGAGGATCCAAATCCATAAATAATTGGGGTGCCAAATATCCACGCCACGGCCTTGTTTTCTTGAAAGAAACTTGACAAATATATATATCTTAAGACATCCTCACATGTTTAGAAATTTGCTGCAACCTTTGCACTAATTTTTGTATTTGAATATTTTTTTTAATCAAATGTCATGTGTTATTTTTTTAAACAAAAGAAAACATGATATTTGATGTCTTTTAAATAATAATATTTTTTTTCATCTTTAATCCATAGTCAAAAGCATTAAAATGTCTTTATTTGTGTGTACAAATGACACGTGACATTTGATAAAGCGAAAATGCTTAAATGCAAATGTTGCTAGTACTCTAAAAAAAATATCAATAATAAGTGTTAGTTGATTGGCCACATAATAGAAATAAGGGAAGGTCCTGTTTGATATTAAAACTGCAAGATTTAGTTGAAATTAGGTAATATCATATCGCTAGGGAACATTCAGACGGACAAGTCAATGAAAGGAATGCTCATTTTTTGTAAGAAATGAGAACTACTTGTAGGGCGCACTCTACTTTCTATTTTAACAACGTAAATTGTCTATTTTCTAGTTTAACTGAATAGATCATCCTTGGAATATGATAGCTAAATTTGAAATGATTAAGGTACCTAATTGTGCTCAAGAAAATTAACGAACATAGTACTCTAAGAAACATTAAATGCCATCACGAAAATCAAATGAGAAAATAATTTCGAAGATGAAACTTGAAAACCAGAGGGCGGCCTCCATGGGTAGTCTCATTTTCTTGTAAAAAAACGAGAATACTTTCCTACCTGCTCATATGGAATTCATCTATGCAAGTAGCTTGGTTAAAGGATTGAAAATTTGAAAGTAACATCTAAAAAAAATTGGCTTCATAATTTGTTGATACACATTCAATATTGGAGTGGATATCAACAATATCTAATTTATTCGTAGTTTTAAAAACTTAGGCCCCAATCCCTATTTTCTGGGCAACAACTTTGGCCAATGCAACTCCCTTAACAAATGCTGCTACCTTCACCAATTGAACCACCACTCCAATTCCATCTTCTGCAACCCTAGGTGTAGTGAAGTTCAATGACAATTCTGCCCCAGAAGTACTCTTCATCTTCTTCTTTACATGCTTATACTCGCTACAGTTCAGAACCTTGAAAAACTCATCCACAGCACTCACCCACCAGATCCCAGAAGCATTGAAGCCTTCGAAAAACGCCAAGTGACCGCGATGCTGTGTGGTGGCCAAAACAACATTCACATTGTCCCTACATTCATCCCAAGGAATGGATTCCCTGGTGCAGATTGGATCGTCCAACGCGCTGATACAAAGCAAGGGAACCGCCACATTGCAAACGTAGACGGCGCTGCTAGTGCACCGATAAAATGTGTCAACGGTCTCAAACTTCCCCACGTCGCTGGTAGCATGTTAGTGTCGGATGCAATGCATCTTGCCGTCCCAATCTGCAAGCCGGGAGTAGGTATGCTGGTGAAACTGTGCGTACCATTGAAGGCCTACTGTTAGAGCTTTGTCATATAACTTCTGCAGCAAGGTACGTCGAATGAATCTGTCACCAATGAGAAAGTGCTAGGGATTGCAAATGGCTGCAGCACCAGCTACCGGGACATTGCTTCCGTCTTCCCCAAGATACTTCACCAAAATGTTGGCACCTAGACGTATGAAAGTATCCATATCAAGAGAAATTAAATTGGAAATTTTGATTGAGATGTAGTACCAAAAAGAATAATGTTCTCTTCCCACACTATAGATCTCAACGAAATAGTCAAACTAATATGTGGTCCAAATTAACAGTTAAACAGTCTAGCAAGAGAAAATCTTCCTAACAAGAAAACCGTTGTGCCTTGGTCCGTTTGTTAGTGTGGAAACGAGATTCAGATTACAACCTCACAAAATCACACTCAGTTGAACAGAATAAAATACAAGAAATAAAAACATTGAGAAATTTACGAGGTTCGGCAAAAACATGCCTACGTCCCCGGAGAGATATTGCTCTTCACTATGAATAACAGTACAAGTACACATGAGTTAAATCAACGTAACACAATCCCAAATCCCTTGCACACCACCCACTCATAGAATTTTCCAAGAGCCTCACTCTACCCCAAGAGTTCTTTCACTAGAATACTTTTCACTCTAGCTCTCTTGATTTTCTCTCAACCCATGTTCAACATTTCCCATGGTAGAGCCAAATGCTCTCACCATCTCCTTGGATGCTTCCTTGATGCAAGCCTTCTCCCTCGGCAAGCACACCTAATGCAAACATTTCCTTGCATTAAATAAAGGCCAAGCCATCATCACATTTCTTGCAATGCTCCCAAAGTCAAAAGGCAAATCCACTTTTGCTTTTACTTTGCAGCACTTGTCTGCAACTTTCATGTAACCCACACCATGTGATATTTCCACCGAAAGCAAACACAAGTCACTTCATTGTTGCCAGCTCAAAATATGAGCCAATCATAACAAAAATAATGGAAACATTGTAATCTTACCTATGCTTGTTCCAATGAGAAATAATGGAGCCTTGGGATGCTTATGGTGGAGGTGATTACAGACTTCGCGAATATCATTGGTCCATCCACAATTGTAAATAAAGTCTGAAGTAATTGGAACTCCACCAAGTCCTCTGTGGTTGCTGATCACTACATTCCATCCCATTTTTGCTGTGTTGAAAGCAAGATGTCTTATATAAGCCGAATCCGAATCGCTTGTTAGTCCCGGAAGCACAACTACAATGGGGTTTGTGCTGTCATCTACAGGCACAAAACTACCACCCAAAACATGAGAACTTGCCGCCGCTGCCCAATCCAATGCAATAGTACAGCCATCCGACAGGCGAAAAATTTCTCTTCGGTATGTGACATCTGGAGTGTTGCCAAAAAAACTGAGGAAAAGATTCTGCAGATGAGGGCTGGCAAGCCAGGGCGTGGCCAAGTACCGGGCATGGAGTATCCGGCACTTGGAAACAACACCGCGGTAGATGTGGGAATTGGAGCTGTATGTCAAGTCCACTGGAGAACCTCTGAATCCAGTGAAAAAGTCTTGCCAAAAATGGAAGTCCGAGTAGTTGTAGAGGAACACACAGGAAATGATGAGGGACCCTAACGAGTGCCAGACGGGAATGAGTGCCGCGGCGGTGAACAGAAGCTCGTAGGGGTTAGCGGAAGAGTCATGGAGGCTCCGAAAACAGTCCATGGGGATGTCGCCGTCTCCGCAGAGAGGAAAACTGAAGTGAATGGCACTCTCTCTCTCTGCAGGCATTGATTTCCTATGTAAATATTTGTAAACGCTCTCATGCTAATTGGGAGCATTAATAACAAGATTGTTTTAATACGTTTGGATTAAGCGTTTAGGAATTCTAAATGGATGGGAATATGATTTTACTTCTGTACTTAATGCCGCAGCAGGACCCATTGTAAAAAAAATAAAATAAAATAAAAGAATAAATTGCATTTCACCGTTTCAAATATGGATGCAAATACAACTCCATACAATATTTAAAACATTTCAACTTCATACATTTAGTTATTATTTCATTTCAAATGAAACCATAAAAATGTACAAGTTAACCGTTAAATGATGACGTGATAAAAGTGGGTACCACATTTGTGGTGACAACTAATAAAAAATATATTGGCAATTGGCTAAGAGGCAGAGGAAAAACGGAGAAATGTTAAGTTTAATTATTTTTTTTTATTTTTTAATTGTGTTAATGGCGGGACTCATTTGAAATATTGAATTATCAAAGAGAAGGTACACGTGGGTGGAGAGTCCGAAGAGACTCGCTCCGTAGGATTTCCCATTCTAAATAGGTGCAGGATATCTGGTCGGTTTCCTAATGAAATTTAATTAATTGGGTAAATTACATAGTAGCCCCTCAGATTTGAGATATATTACAACTTCATACAACATCTTTAAAACATTTCACTTTCATATCTCACGTATTATTTTATTTCAAACTAATACCTCCGTTACATTTTCCTTCCATTGATCCGTTAAGCGCTGACGTAACTGCCACATTTGTGTCACACACCTCCCTGCAACCCCCACTTCGTCTTCCCTCCTTCCCCCACCCAACCTACAACCCAAAACCCACCACACCCCTTTCTTCCCCTCCTGTCTTCCCCAAACCCACCGCACCCATCCTTCACGTATTCCTCCGCACCCACCCTCTTCCCTTCTCTACACACCCCAATCCTTAAATCCACACCCATTGGGGAAGACGGGATCTGGGTTGCAGGGAAAGGGAGATGGGTTTTTTCTTTTTTTTTATTCTTTTCTAAGTTGCAGGTAGTGGGTGCAGAGGAGGAGGTGGAGGATGGGTGCACAGTGGGTTTGGGGAAGACTAGAGGGAGAAGAAAGGGGTGGGTTGCAGGGAAGGGGGGTCGAGGAAGATGAAGATGGGTTTTTTTTTTTTTTTTTTTTTTTCTGGGTTGCAGGTTGGGCTCGGGTTAGGGGGGAGATGGGAAGATGGGTGTGCGGAGGAGGTGGAGGATGGGTGCGGAGGAGGAGGTGGAGGATGGGTGGGAGTGGTTTTGGATTTGGGTTGCAAGGATGGAC